TACAGTAATACCCCGAACTTACGCGATAGGTGGGACCGAGCGATAACCGCGTAAGTTGAATTCATGTAAGTTGGGGTATAATTTCACGTAAGTGAATTCACGTAAGTTGGGGTATAATTTCACGTAAGTTGGGGTATAATATATATATATATATATACAGTAATATATATATACACAGGGAAAAAGTTTCTTATAAAAGTTAAAATCTTGGATTTATTAGATATATATATATACACAGGGAAAAAGTTTCTTATAAAAGTTAAAATCTTGGATTTATTAGATTATCTCAAAAAATTTAATAAACTTATGTTTTTAACTTTGAGAGGAAAAAAGTTTTTTCCTTCATAACACAATGATTTTTATTATGAAATTTTATTTAAATTATTATTTAACAGCATTTATAATATATTTCAGATACTGGTGCAGTATTTTGTTTTGGGAAAAGTAATTTTGCAGATAATCAACCTGGTAAGTTTTGGATACGTGAAGATTTAGTTCTACAAGTTGCTTGTGGAGATGAACACACTGCATTAATTACAGGTAATTTATATATAATTATTAAATTTGTATACCATACATTACTATATTCATTAGAATATAATACATATGTTTTGCATCTAATCTGTATTACAGATTTTTTAAAAATGTATTAAAAATTAATTGTATTTAAAATTAAACACTTAATCACATATATTATTATAATCATTAGAATTAATTAATATATAGTAACATGAAACACAATGCAAATACTTTGAAGAATATGAAAGAGTATCATAGCAGAATATGCAGATTAATCTGTTTTGTTTTTCTGTTTTCATTTTTAGACTAATTTGTATCCTCAAACTGCGTGTGTAAAGATTCATTGTGAGGAGTTAGAGAATAATTAAAATATTTCAAAAAAATTTTATCAATATTGGATGATTAAGAATATTACATAACATTGACTTATAGTCAATTTTTCTTTACTAATATAATAGTTTTAAAATTTAAATATGGCAATTGATGATATATTATACTAGGACAGTGTTTTTCAAACATTTTAAAGAGATGCCTTTCTTTTATGTAAGAAAAAAAGCTTACAATTCTTTATGTTTTCATAAAAGTAGTGGCCTATATTTTTTAAAGATTTATTTTATTTTAATGAAACTAGAGTTTATTCATTTTTTTTTTTGATAGTACACAATTATATTTTGAACAAAACTAAAATAGTGTACAGAAATAATTACATCTAAATGAAATCAAATTGATGTAATGATTATTGTGTAGTTCTAATGACAATGATAATTTTTCTTTGTATAAAGAGCAGAAATGCTTTTGCATGGTAATTTTTCTTTATATAAATAACAAAAGTGCATGAAAGTGGAAATTGTATAAATAGCAAAAATGCATTTATACAATTCCCCCCAAAGGTAAGTGGAACATAAGTACAGTCGACCCCCCTATAAGATAGAGATGTTTTTGCATTTAAATTTTCTGCATGTTCTTTACACTTACAGTTCGAATATTTCTTGAGTTCTTAGTTAGATAAGTTGCAGTTTTTGTTCTGTTAGTCAAGTCATGAAGGAACTAAAAAGAAGATGAGAAATTCTGCAGCTTGTTTTTTCTTTAAAGGAATTAAGAAATCTGAAATTTGCCGTCTGCTTAAGTGTGGGAATGTTACAAACTAAACTTATCTCTCCATAGTATGTTACACCAAGGAAACTAACAGTATTGAGAACTGATCAAGAAGTGATTTTCTAAGGGATAAAAGGACTTTGGGAATACTTAAGACTGAAGAACTGAATAAGAAGAAATCCTTGCCAATGTCAAAGAAATTGGCCTTACAGATGAACATTTCAAGATAAACCATTCTTCTGGCACTGAAAAAGGACTACAAGTTTAAATTTTTAAAGTGTGGTACCTACCACATGTGGATGCATTCTCAAAAGAAGAAAAGTGGTTCACTATGACTGCCTTTTTCAGAGGTATGGAGATGATGTAAAAAATATTCTCTTTACAGATGAAAATTTCATACTGCTAATTTAACATGCAAGATGATCATGTTTACCTCAAGTCAGTGAAAGATATTCCCCTGCTTATCTGGAAGTCTCTAAGGGCTTATCATCCAGGAAGTGTGATGGTGTGGGCTAGAATCTGGGCAAGTAAAAGCAGAACTTTGTTTTATGTCAACAAGAGTTGAAGTGATTACCATGAACTAAAGACAGAGATTCTCCAAGCAGTGGTAGTGGTAGAACCATTGAATAGAACTCTTCAAAAATCAAACTTGCATTTTTCAGCATGACTCAGCTCTGGCCAACAGTACCAAAACCAACTGGATTGGTTAAAAGAAAAAGTTCCAGATGTCATTTTGAAGAAAGAATGGCCTGCCATATCACCTGACCTAAAACCATTAGATTACTCTATGGTCAATGTTTGAGTTAAAGGTTTGGACTAAAACACAAATGTTGAGGCTGTCAAGAAATCTCTTCTTCGAGAATGGTGGACTATCTTATGGAAAATATCCATACTGCCATAAAGAGTGGAGATCAAAGATGAAGATCAGTATCAAAGCACTTGGTGGACACTTTGAATATTAGGAATGCATGTTATATACCTTATTACCTATTTGTTATAAAAATGTTTGTTTAATATTACTTTTTAATCAATTTCAATTGTAGACATTTATATTTGTATTAGAACTTATTAGCATATTAGATGTGTATGTGTAAATATTCTAACATAAATAATCAGAATATTTTAGAACAATTAGAAAAAACTTTTACAAGAAAACTTATATATATACTGGTAAATATTATTACACAGTAATACCTCGACTTATGCTACCCCGACTTACGCGAATCTGGAGTTATGCGATTTTCAAATCTTGTCGATTCGTCTTTTGTTTGAGCTCCACGCAACTCTTGATTACTCACTCTCCCCACACTATTGTTCAGCTTACATGTTTGGACGTGTTGAGCAGAATTGATGCATAGCTACAATTTATTTTGTGTTATTTATTTCTGTGTTTGTTATATCTATGGGGACTTGAGAGACTCTATGTGGTGAATTCTTGTAACCGTGAACGAATCAAAAGACGAGATAAGATTAACGGGAACATTTATTAGCTTATATACATCCAACTTGGAGTTTACACAAATTGAGAAATTATACCCCGACTTACGTGAATTCGACTTACGCGGTTATCGCTCGGTCCCACCTATCGCGTAAGTTCGGGGTAT